GTGCTTTAAATTTTGTTGAAACTTTGGTTTGAAAAAAAATCATGTAATTTTGTGACATTTTTAGATTGTTATATAATTGAATGAAATTAAATTAATGTACTAACAAGTGTTTGCAATTTAGTGACTCATTTTTAGATTGTTTACCAGTTACCACCAAACTCCCTATAACTCTTGCAGGAAATAAAAGAGAAAAAAAAAATTAAAAAAAAAGAAAAGAAGTAGAAGACAAAGAAGAAAGCTCCATTTTAACTGCAGTAAGCCAGTAATTAAGTACTTATTGTTTCGTTCATTGTTGTATTTTTACACATCCCTATTTAATTTTTTTTTGTTATTTTCAATCCGGTAACGGATGGTCTAGTATATACTGACCGGACTGAATATTTAAAGTAAAAACGAGACAAAAAATAAGATTATTATTTTACTACGGATTAGATTAATTAGCTTATCTTCCCTAAAAAAAAGGGATTAATTAGCTTATCTTCGTTTTTATCTTAAATTGTCCTTCATAGTTTTAAACGTACATACTTCATAGTACTAGTACCTCAATAGTTTAAGTGATCATTGTTGGAATTTGAATCAAGTGTCTAGTAGGAGGACAAGCTAAGGACTTGGATTTTTAGTTTCTAACAATGATCATTTAAAATATTTGAGACAAGCAAACTATTTTTCACACTTGTTTTTTTTGTCCTTGCAAAGTTACAATCATTTTCAGATTAATTATGCACATTCTCTGTAATCTTTAGTACTCCGTATCAGTGTCAATGTATATGATATATGAGCGTATCAAAAGAACAAATCGAACAAGAGTTTACTAATACGAAGTGATAGAATTAGAAAAACTTGATTATGTTCGGGTAGGTTAAGCATTGTCAAAGGATTAGACATTTAGACATTAGTAGTTAAGTATTAAGAAAAATGATGATTAATGAATGATTATGTTAATGTAGGTTGAAATTTGGGGGCTGCATATGAATTATGCAGTAATCTGGGGAAGCAAATGTTCCGGAGTTTAAGGGGGTTTCTGGGTTGGTTGGTGGGAACGAAGAATCAAATAAAGCTGTTTAGCCAGCACCTAATATGGTTGAATTATTTGACTAACCTTTAATTAAAACAATTTTAGTAGTAAATAAGAATAATGTATGTACGACTTTACAGACTTATATTTAGAAAAATTGAATGATAGAAAATTATAAAGGAAGTGGAGGAACTACTTTTTGTTGAAATAGAATGAAGATTGTAGAAATTAAACTATGAATTGTTTTTTGCTTTTTGACTGTTCATCATATCATGAAGCTAAGGACCATTTTAAAGGATTCTTTGAAAATTTGTGTCATTTAAATTTTACATTTGTTACATACATATGCATTTGTATACTTCCTACAATCCTACATGATACATGTCCAAGTTGCTCGTATCATTTATCTCTTGTTTATCATTTACAATCATGCACAAGTTTTGTATTAGTAGTACTATTTCCTTTTAACAAAAGAAGAGAGTTAATAAGATAATAGAGAATCATTTTTTATAGTTATCACTTGTGGTTATGAAAAATGTTTGACAAAACTTTTTTTTCATTCTGACGTGTAAATATAATACAATCCATTTACTTGCTTGTTATTAATGAATTTAAAAGCATTAAGATGTGTTTTTATATTTGTAAAGACTAACTAATACTTCTATTGCAACTGTTAAGAAATTCCAGACCTAATATTTATACAAAGAAAAGAAAAAGGTTAGATCATATTCTAAAAGTTGATTCCGAATTAATCTAGTTGAACTTCAAAACATTTATACAATAATGATAATACGAGGTTGAGGTGATGGAGTAGTGACATCGCCATGAGACTCATTTGAAGGATTTCCCAGGTTCACATTATTCATGCCAATTTTGTCCAATTAGCAAAATTAATTGGACAAGACATTATTGCATTGAGTTTTGCATTATATAAGTCATTGGTTCACTACTAAAATTACCATCAACTCAGATCATCAGTCCACCTGCTCTTCTATACAAAAATGTATAATCGATCAAGTCACTTTTTTAACGTAACATCCTTGGTCCCCCAAAATTTTGATAGGCATATAATCTTTGAAGTGTATGATAAAATTTAGCGAGAAAATGATACACGTTGAACCTCTAAAATCCTCTAGCTCTTCCTTATACAAGTATATATATGTTGTCGTATACAATTCATTATTCCATGCATTTTAGATTATCAACCCACCTTATTACTAGCTAACATAATTCCAAAGTTTTGTCACTATTTATAATTCCATCCGGTATACATCGTCCTACATGCTTTTGAATTGGATTAGCGGCAAAATTTTCAACGGCTTTAAAAACAAATGGATACACTCTATGTATATTGGTTTGGTTTTCAACAAATTTCATTCCCATCAAGGACATCAACTTTATCCAATCAAAACTTTAAAAATTATAATTAGGATCGAGAAAATCTTAATTTTTTTAATTTTTTTTTTTTAAAGAAAGGAAATCTTAATATGAAGTATATTCTTGTATATTACTCTAAGTTCTTAAATATTAAAGGGAGTCAATTATTGTACTTTAAAAGATAAAATGGTTTAGATAATAATTCTAGGAAACACATATACCACGTACATAGTTTGTAAGGTAAAAAAAAGTGTAGAAAATCGCACCCAAAAAAAAAAAAAGTGTAAAAATATTGAAAGCAAACAAGTTTCTAGAATAAGGTCAAGGGACCTATAAATAGGCATGGATGCTCTATTGAGCAAACCATCCATACAAGTCCACTTGTACTTTTCTTTAAGCAATGCAAAAAAATATTTACTCGTCTAATTTCTCTATTCTACCTATAAATTTATAGAGATTTTAGTAGACTTTTTTTTTTTTTTTTTTTAATCAATGATATGTTCCCTCAACTTCGCTAAATATCTTGTCAATAAAAAAAAAAAAACTTCGCTAAATATTACTTTGTCTTCGACAAAACAACAATACTACCCACGTATGCAAAAAAAAAATCCTTCTAAGACAAGCAAAACTGTCACTTCTTAACCCAATCCGATATCACGATCAGAAGTTACTGATGAGAGAAAGTCAAACCCGACCTAAACCCAACCCAAACGACCCAAACTTAACCCTATTAGACTTATTTGTTGGACCCACTTATCGTATTTTAAAATAATGTTAAAATTTTACACTAAATTGAGATAGTTTTTTGGACCTGAACGGCTGAACCCAATTCATTGACTTGAGTTGATAGGTGTTTAAACAAATAATTTTGCTACTCTATACCTTATTCCATGAAACAAATCAGTATCACATTTTTTTAGGTCGAATTTGTGTTTTCTATAAGATTTGATAGATATTGATGAATAATTTTCGTTAAAGTGAAAATCATAGACTGTGATTAAAAGGATTAAACTTTTACGGTTTGATGGGAAGTAGATGATGAAGATGGGTATGATGGCGTACTTTAGAGGCAACAAATATATTAAATTAGTAAATATGGACTACTTCGTAACAAATAACAATTGACGAACGTGTGTGAAATATTATAAAATTCAATGTGATATTAAGAAAGTGATTGGAGAGACTCGATATAATAGGGTTAAAACCAATATCAATAATTGCATAAAGTAGAGATAACCTCTTTGAAATTGGATTTGGAAAAAGTTTTCATAAGATTCTTTATTCAAATCATAATTTAGATTGCCTCAATTTATTTATACCAATATCATAGTATTCAAAGGTATTAATAGTTAAAATTATGCACACAAAAAAATAAAAAATTGGTAATTAAAGATGTTAATAATTTTTTGAGTATCGACAAACATGTATATCAGAAGAAATACTATGGGTTACAATACAGTTTTAGTGAGTTAAAAGAATTGCTCCGTAATGAAGTAATAATTTACATGACTATTTGTTTTAATATATAAGATATTATTTTATTTTTTTTAAAATGCATCACGAGCACAATTGTCGAGACAAACTTTAACGATCAATTGTCTTTACTTAATGCCCCAAACGTGTGTGTGTTTTTTTTTTATTTTTATTTTTTATTTATTTATTTATTATTTTAAATTTTCTCTAAAAAAAACTCTTAACCAAATACCCCATTATCTTTCCTTGATTCGGCTTTGGGTTTGAATGGAAGTTTCTCTTGGAGGATTATTTGGAGTAGAAAGGCTCTTGTCAAATAGGGTTTAATTTGGAGAGTGAGGAATGGTGATATTTGGGAAGATCCTTGGATTGTGGGTGAGCAGGGAAGATTTATTACTTCTCGAAAGACTGACGATGTGACTGTTGTTAGAGACCTCATGCTACCCAACTGCTGTGGTTGTTGAATGCTAATTTTAACGAAAATGACCAGCAGAGTATCTTGGCAATACCTATCAGCTCTCGTGGTCCGAGTGATCAATTGTCTTGGGCTTTCACAAATGACGGAATTCATTCGGTCAAATCTGCTTATCTTCTCGGTAAATCTCGTGACTTGGATGCTTTCCACAAGTCATGGGTGGAGTTGTGGAAGACTGACACTATACCAAAGGCAAGAGTGATTGCAAGAGTTTGATCGAGAACCATGATAATAATCAGAGCTTCCTTGATTGAGTTCTTTCTTGGGAAAAGGCAGATAAGAGGGGAGGGCATTTTCGCAGGCACTAGACGTGTTAGAGGAGCTTTGAATGTATGGCAGTACATTTTGGTGTGAAAGATATGGTCTTAAATTCTTAACGAGGTGATTTTGGAATCTGACTCCCAAGTAGTGATGAATCATCTTGACAAGGCTTCGACTTACTTGACGAACTTGGATAATATTCTAGACGATGCATTGGAGCTTACCTTTTCTTTTAATTTTATTTTTTGGTCTCATGTTAAAAGGGAGGAAACTTTGTTGCCCGTTACCTTGGTCGGTTAGTGCCCTTAGGAGTTGAACAAGTTTGGAACTATCATTGCCCACATATTATCTCCCCATATACACTTTCAGATGTTAACTATTGAGTAATAAAACACTAATTGTTTTTCTTCAAAAAAAAAAAAAAAACCATTATCTCTTGAAAGTTGAAACACTTCTTAAAAAAAAAACATAACCCCACTTGGATTCGTTATAAACTACTACAAGGTCTACAACCCAATAACTTAAACCCAGCCCAAAAAAAATCAAAATTAACTTGCTCCACAGGCAACAGCCGAATCCAATTCCATTACAACCTTTCTTTCTTTTCCCCTTTCCAATGTAAACGCCGCAAAATCGAAAAGCAAAGGAAATGAAAACCCCGTTTCGCGCCTAAGCCCCCAAAAGAAACGCGCCCATTTTTTCAAAAAAAATGTCTCCCTCAAATAATTCAACCAACCAAATGTCTCGCTGTCTAAAACTCCGAACTCTCTTTAAAAAATCCTTCAATTTTCTCCCTCCTCTCCTCAACCCTTCTTCTTCCGCCGCCATTTCCACCGCCATTGATAACCCCAATTCATCAATGGAGGAATTCAAGGACGCAATCCGAACCCGCCTCTGCATCATCGGGTCTGGCCCGGCGGCCCACACCGCTGCTATCTACGCTTCACGGGCCGAACTCAAGCCCATTCTCTTCGAAGGTTGGATGGCCAATGGGATCGCGCCAGGTGGACAGCTTACAACCACCACCGACGTCGAGAATTTTCCCGGGTTTCCTGAAGGGATTTCGGGTTTGGATATTACAGAGAAGTTTCGCCAGCAATCGTTGCGTTTCGGTACGGAGATAATGACCGAAACGGTGACTGCTGTTGATTTCAAAACGACGCCGTTTAAGGTGTTTTGGGGTGATGCGAAGAAGACTGTGTTAGCTGATTCGGTGATTATTGCTACCGGAGCTGTTGCGAAGAAGCTTGATTTCCCGGGATCTGGTGAAAATGGAGGGTTCTGGAATAAAGGGATATCGGCTTGCGCTGTATGCGACGGCGCGGCGCCGATATTTAGGAATAGGCCGTTGGCGGTTATTGGGGGTGGTGATTCGGCGATGGAAGAAGCGAATTTCTTGACGAAATTTGGGTCGAAAGTGTATATAATTCATAGGAGAGGTGAATTTAGGGCTTCGAAGATTATGCAAAAGAGGGCATTGGAAAACCCTAAGATTGAGGTATTGTGGAATTCGACGGTGGTTGAGGCGTTTGGGGATGTTGAGAAGGAGAATAGGGTTTTGGGAGGGTTGAAGGTGAAGGATGTTGTTAGTGGGGAGGTTAAGGATGTGCAGGTTTCTGGGTTGTTTTTTGCTATTGGGCATGAACCTGCTACTAGGTTTTTGGGGAATGAGGTGGAGTTGGATGCGGATGGGTATGTGGTTACGACACCGGGTACGACGAAGACGAGTGTGAAGGGTGTTTTCGCAGCGGGTGATGTTCAGGATAAGAAGTATAGGCAGGCTGTTACTGCTGCTGGGACTGGTTAGTGTTTGTTTATATGGTTTTGGTTTGATTTGTTTTCTGTATTGTGTTATTGCATATTTGCATTGTTGTGTTTATTATGTAAATGCTTGTGTCGTGTATATATCATTGTGGGATTTGTTAAGACATTACAATGGCTACCTAGTCGCAAACTCGAGCTTGAAGATTCTTGAGAGGTTTGGGGGCGTTTATATCCATAATCCATTCCTTTGATAGCTGTATATATTCATGTGGTCGAAAGGCTTGGGGTCCTATAGGCTATAGCCCCTGTGGGCTGTAGTATGTGAAAGGGGATAATGGAAAGAAGCTAGAAATGGTACAGTGTGCATAAAAGTTTGTTTACAAATCTAAGATTGCAGTGTATATGATATAGGTTAGAGGTGTAATTAACACTGGAAGAATAGGTTTAGTTGAGCCTTGATTAGGCATACATCCCTGTCCTGTATTTTGCTAACAAGACATTGTTGATTTTTCGGTTTGATTTGCTTGTGTTGTTGCAAAACTTGCAATGCTGTGTTTTGATGCTAAAGCTTGTTGAGCTGAAATTGCAATGTTGCCAGAGGTATGATGCACTTTGGGGATGGGTGCAATTGAGCTTAGGTTGGACATTTGTAATTGTTTTTGGTATTACAATTCTGTTTGTACTTTTGTACATTTATAAGATTTATAACACCTAGCAAGTTGGGTTGGATGGATTTTGAAGATTTGGGTTGTTTAACTATGTTTTCCGGAGGTGTAGGTTTATAGGTTTGAAGAATTTTGACGTTTCTTTTGCTGTGTGTGATAGGGAGAGTGTGTAGGCTTATAGCCCATTATGTTTAGCCTTATTTATTGCCTCTGGGGGATAAAATTTGCTACTGATTATATCATTGAGAGGCTGAGTTTCAATTCACTATATTGCTATGATAACAATGGCACACTTTGAAGAATACTCTTTGTATGAACTCAGAAGAAATGCCAATTCACTATAGTTTTTTGAGGATTGATTCTTGTTTATTATCCCTTATTTTAATGATGATAAGTTGATGTCCCCTCCCACTGCAATATGACAGAGAAAAGTGTAGGATCCTATATTTGAGCTCCAAAGTTCCCTTGGCTGATAATCCTTCGCGTATGGCTGAATAGACTGGCAGTGTTTACTTCCGGTTGAAACCTTGTCGAGAGTACCTTTTTTTTTTTTTTTTTTTTTTTTTTTAACAATATTTTTAATGGTGTGGTTTGATTTGTTTATGTGCTATATAATATGTTAAGTGGCTTGCAATATAGCTTTAGATGTAGTATGATGCACTTTCGTGAGTGGATTTAATTGAGCTTTGGAAGGAAATATGTCATAATGTTATTGTCTTGATTTTCTGGTGTCCAGATAGAATGTTGGATTTTCTAAGACATTCTAGTTGTTAGTATGATTAGAGAATACTATAGGCGTTTCCTTGTTACTTGGAGATTCTGTAGGTTTACGTGGCTGAAGGGCAGAACGCTTAGGTGTTTGAAAGTAGAGGATGAAAGGAAGCAATTGTTTCTCTACGATATTACATTCCCCTTCCCCTTTCTTTTCATGTCAATGTTTCTCTGTTGCGGGTATGCTGTTAGTGAAAGGTTACTTGCATGTTTTCATTATAGTGATGTTCAGAAATTAAATGTCTGAGATTCCCAAGTCCTCAACATTTCATGACAATTCACTTGTTGCTACTCATCGGGCTCACAAATACCAGGCTACCAGCCCCACCTCAGACAGTTATAATTAGTATTAGCCTTATAGCTTATGTGTCTCACCTGCCTCTCTGCCTATTACACCTAAATCCACAACATATACAACAATTTACTCAACTCTGGCTGTTTGTGAGAGCCTAGCAGTTTTCATGCATTCAATTAACAACCTATGATTAGGTGAATATTAGAATATTACCAAAAGAGTTATCTCCAGAAATGGCAGTAATGGTTCACCAAGCTCCTCATGGATCTCTATCGACAACAGCCACTAGGCGGTTGATTAGGGGAGTAGACGTATGATAAAGTTTTGGACGTTATTCAACTTGATCTTGATTTTACTAGGATAACTATCTAGCATGTGTCAACTTACACTCTAGGATTTTCCCCTTGTATACACTGTTCCATGTCTTTCATCCATTTTAATCTACTTTCTTTCCTTTTGAATTTGAGAGATGATATACACACCATCCCCTCTCACGGAGGCAGAGGTTTTCACGCGTGGGATTTTTGTTTTTTTGGGTGTGTGTTTGGGGGGGGGGGGGGAGATTATTTCAAAAGGCAAGTGGACAAGTTACACTTTAATTGTCAATTATTACTAATTCTGCCCAAGGGCTGCAAATGATAGATATAGCCATATGGGACTGATTCCTGTCTATTTCTGACGACATCCCATCTGTATGATCTCTCCATTTATCTGGGATGTTTTCCGTGCTAAAGTCAAAATACCTGCTGCTTGTAGACTTGTAGTAAATGATATCGTTATGTGGCTGGTAGATATAAATGGGTTTTAGCTCAGGAGTAATCGAAGTGCTTTGCATATAATGGGAGGACTCTAGTGAGTTATATTCTGGGTCGTTTTTATGAATAAAAACTTAGTTTTGATTATGATGATTCAGGTTGCATGGCTGCCTTAGATGCGGAACATTACTTGCAAGAAATTGGTGCTCAAGAAGGCAAGAGTGATTGATTATTGAACGACGACGCGGAATGGCCTCCAATTGAAATTGTTTCTAAAATTTAGCCCCTGATATTAGGCTCCTATTCTTCATGAAATAATTTATGGATTGTAATTGATAGACTCCTTATTTGCAACAATTCTTTAATGCAACAGTTCAGTTCTTAATGGCTTAATGCCATTCAAGTTATCCTTTTTTTTTCCCTTCCCCCAAATAATGTTTTACTTTGTTTTTTTTTTTTGATTGTCATGTCTGTTGCTTTGGTTTAACTGCATATTTTGACCTCATGGTTATTGCAGAATGATAGATACAGTGAAGATTTAAACAAAAAAACTTTCATTATGCATAATATATTACTCTGTAATATATACATAATATTTTACTTGTCACAAACAATTTTCTAAACATAGAAACAAAATTCTAGCAATTTCATGTGTTTTTTTTTTGTTACAAAAATTGGGGTGCCAACATTTTGCATTCGCTATACACAAACATCATCAAATGGCTCAACATACTTTCCTTGTGAACTCGAAGGAGGTCTTTTCCAGGTTGCTTTTGTTAGTGATCATTCCCTAATGACCATTATAATGATCATCAGAAACTTTCCAACTATCCCTTTCACAAATCTCCATGAACCTTGCCACGTCGGATTCTGGCCTGGTGAGCTGTTGAACTATCTCCCTAAACTTTGAAGAACAAATCGTAACATTCATGGGGGTTGAGATGTACACAACCTTGATCGCTTCTTTTCTCGACGATTTTCTGCTCAACCTTCCATTTTCTGATCTTCTGCTTCTTTTGTCATTCTCTAGTTCTCTTTCTTGCCAGTTGTGACCTCTCTGCATATCAATCTTTTTTTTTGGTAATTTAATGTGAATGAAAAGTGTATGTCCGACTTCAAATGAAGATTTATTGCAATGCTAATTCTCTTAAATAGGATATTTGAAAATGGATATTTCGTGGAAGGGGTATATAGAAAAATAAGGGATTTGTTAAACATCGCCCGCGTTTTTCTACATAAAGCCCACATTTTTTAAAAATGTTGACATTATTGCCCTTGTTTTAATTTTTACCGAAAATAAAATTTTTCACTCATAAAAAATGTGGAGCAGGACTGGATCGCCGAGTGAAACCGAAGAGCCCTCAACGTCGGGTAGATGCACCGGAGAGACGCCGTTGACGCCGGAAAAGGAGGTACGAAGCCGTCTAAAACCACGAATTGGCGGCTGGCGTCCTGCCGGGACGCCGTGACCGTAGTGGTGGCGCCTAGCCAGGACGCCGCCACCGTAACTCTGGCGCCTGGCCAGGACGCCGCCACCGTGGCCGTGGCGTCTGGCCAAGACGCCGCCGCCACGGTGGCGGCGTCCTGGCCAGGCGCCACCGCCACGGTGGCGGCGTCCTGGCTAGACGCCACCGCCACGGTGGCGGCGTCCTGGCTAGGCGCCACCACTATTTTTTATTTTTTTTTTTTTTAATTTAATTTAAAATTTGTTTATTTTTTTTTTTTGTGTTACAATTTTTTTCTTTTTTTTTTTGTTTTGTTTTTAATTGTTTTAATTTGTTTTTGTTTTTAATTTATTTATTTTTTATTTTTTTTTTACAATTTTTTTTCGTTTTATGTTTTTTTTTTGTTTTTTTTTTTTTGGTTTATTTTTATTTATTTAATCTAAAGTTTTGTTTATGTTTTTTATTTTTGTGTTTTGTTTTTTTTTTTTTTTTGAATACTTTTTGTTTATTTCTTTGTTTGTTGTTTATAATTTATTATTGTTTTTGCTTTTGTGCTAATGTTGTGTCAAATGTATTAATTTAATCTACTCTTATGTGATTATATTTATATGTTATTGTTGCAGGATTATGGTGGAGACGGAAATGATTATAGTGGGATTTTTGTACACGATGGTCTGTTCGAAGATGCTCAACAAGCGGTTGATTGGGCGAAACAGGTTGCAATTAGATCAGGTTTTTGTTTAGTAGTAGCAACTCATAAATCTCAACGGGATGGTAGAATGGATCGCATTTTGAGATGCGACCGTTATCGCAAAAGGGAGGAACGAGATTTCAGTCAAGCGATTCGGTTTGATACAAAGCGGAAAGGTTGTGGGTGTCAGTTCAGAGTAAAGGTTCGACAACAGCAAAGGGGTGACGGTTGGGAAGTGAAGAGTTACGGTAAATGGGGGTATCACAACCATGAGATGATCGCATATGAAGTGGGTCATCGACAGTTAAGTGGCCTAAGTCCTGCTGCGAAACTAATTGTAAAAGAAATGAGTGATGCTCAAGTGAAGCCTGCTAAAATATTAGCATCTGTGTTGGAGAAATTTCCTGAAGACCAGCCAAACCGAAGACACATCTACAACGTCAGACATAAATTGAGGTTTGAACGGTCAGAGGGAAGGAACCCTATACAGCAGCTTCTACACCAGGCACAAGCACGTGGTTACCTGTACTGGTTTGAATCTGATGAAGACACATCGGAGGTGACTCATTTGTTCCTTGTGCATCCTGATTGTGCTGATATGATTTCGTCTTGGCCATCTGTGATTCTGATCGATTCAACGTACAAGACAAACAAGTATAAGTTTCCACTGGTTGAGATGGTTGGGATGACTCCAACGAACCAGAACTTTTTGATTGGTTATGCAGTTATGAAGGATGAGACGGTTGCGAGTTACCGTTGGGTGTTGGAGAAGTTGAGAAATTACATCGGCCCAAGTGTTCAGCCATCGGCCATCGTCAGCGATTGTGAGGGAGGTCTCTTTGCCCCTATAGCGGAGCTGTTTCCGGAGTCGAGCCATTTACTGTGCACATGGCACATCAACAAATGCGTGAAAGGCAGAATGGACATTGAACATTTTCCATATAAAGACAGGATCCCTAACATCATGATGCCGTTCCTGGACGGGTGGAATGATGTGGTTGCAGATGGTAACTGTGGATTTCGGGTTGTGGCTGATGTGTTTCAGATGGGTGAAGACAACTACGGTTTAGTGCGTCAGTTGATGTACAGTGAAATCGCCTCAAACCGAGCTGTTTATCGCCACGTGTACGGACAGGACTTGGATAGGTCTCTGCAGCGTATCCGGTGGGGAGGAGGACGTTGCGGTCAAAATCATTGGTTCGACGCGCCCCTTGATCTCTTCGCCGTTGCAAACATCTACAAGTGTGCAGTGATGCATTTCGGCCTTGGTTTGCATGGTCGAGCTTACTATCCGTGTACCACGGTTCTGCCTTGGTGTTCGCGTGAGACCGTCACCAGACCGGTAAGAGAGGTTGCTATTGGATTTCTGGGGCCGTCATACAGACATTTCATCCGACTGGACCTGTCACCCGATTTTCCGGTCCCACCGATTATACCAACGTGGTACACCATTCGTACAGCAAGCGTAGAGGGCTGGGATGCGTTATATCATGACCGGGTGCAGCAGTGGAACAATCTAGTTGCCTTTTCTATGTGACCTAATATTGCTATTGCTATGTTTTTTCCCATTTATTTAATTTTCGGATTCTAATTTTCGTATTTAGTTTTCCCATTTAAATGTGAACCTGTATTTAGTTTTCGTATGCCCACTAATTACAACTTAAAATAAAAGTTATAAAAACTAAAAATATAATGTCAAATTCTAAGAACTTAAAATAATAATTATAAGAACAGATAATGTTAACTTTTACAAACAACTAGGAAAATGTTTTATAAATGCACTGCCGACATATCAATAATCTCTCTGTGACGCCCACTGCCACTGCTCAAGGGCCCGTTCCAGTTCATCAATAGCAGCTCTGCCTGTTGCAGTCGTCATGTTGTCCCTCTCCTCAAAAAGTCTGTGTCCCAACTGCGTCATCTTTCCCATCCACTACACATAACAAAACACATAAAATTCAATAACGACGTATTATGAGACGTATTATATGAAAAAAAACACAACTACAAATGTTTTATGAGACGTACCGCATCCACGGCAGTGGGCGGTGGCACATCATCATCATCGGCGTCGTCGCCGTGGTGGACGTCTCTGATCAACCTCGGGTGCGAGTGCCGGTTGTACCACTCCATGTAGTGCTGGTCACACATGGCAGCCACCCCAGTTGGCGGCCGCTGCAACTGCTCAATCCATATGCGGGCAACCATCGGAAACTGCTCCCACGTGCCGCTATCCAAAGCCCGCTCTTGGTCCTCCCAAATACGGGTAGCGATGTGTCCTAGAAAGCTAGGAATCACACTCCCGTCTATAGGTCCCCCAGCCACCTCGCCCCTCACCACCCAAGAATCATTAACGGCCCTCGACCGTTTTCTGCTAACCGCAGACACAGTGGACGCAGATGATGTGCCAGATCTACTAACAAATCTACCATCTCTACCCTTACGCACGTCTACCCTACGCGTCTCATACACATCATCAAGCCTCTGACTGAATGGACCGTAATCATCATATGGTCCACTCTGATCGTCCACATCCTCATCTGCATCCTCCTCCTCCTCCTCCTCATCACCATCATCATCTTCATCATCCTCAGAATAGTGCACCCGTTCTCTACGAGCCGAGGCCGAAATACCACGGGATCTAACGTGTCTGGGCCCCGAGCTCTCCATTGAGTTCATCGTACTTCTCATAATGTCCATACTCTTCCCAGCCCCAGAACGAAAATACGATGCCTAACACAAAATAACAAAACATGTAATATGCAATATAAACATGTAATATAAACATAAAAAAAGTAATTAAAATAAATAAATAAAACAATATACATATGATGGAAAATAAATTAAAAACATTACAAAATATTAACAACCTAAAAATAAAAAAATTAATAACCTAATAAATAAATAAATAAAAAATTGGAAAAAACAAAGCAAAAAAAAAAATTACCCAAAAAAAACAAATTGGAAAAAACAAAGTGAAAAATATAAAATTATAAAAACTTAAAAAAAGAAGAACATCAAAATTTTAAAAAAAATTTATAACAAAAAAAAGGGAAAATAAAATTTTTTTAAAAAAAACCAACAAAATTTAAAACAAAATAAAAAAAAATCAGAAACATAAAATTTAAAATTAAAAAAAAGAAAAACAAATTTAAAAAAAAATCAAAAAAAAAATAATTATTTTCGAAAATTAAATTTCAAATTTAAAACCAAAAAAAATTAAAAAAAAAAATAAAAAGGCGGCGGCGCCTAGGCCAGACGCCGTGACGGTGGCGGCGGCGTCTAGCCCAGACGCCACTACCACGGCGGCGGCGCCTAGGCCAGACGCCGGTGCCGTGGTTCTGGCGCCTGGGCCAGACGCCACCGCCACCGTCACGGCGTCTGGCCTAGGCGCCGCCGCCGTGGTAGTGGCGTCTGGGCTAGACGCCGCCGCCGTGGTGGTGGCGTCTGGCCTAGGCGCCGCCACCGCCTCCGACCTTTTTTTTTTTTAAATTTTTAAACACAAAATTAATAAAAAATACCTTCTCGCCGGAAAAACCGCTGTCCACCCGCCGCCTGTGCCGCCACTTCCTTGCCGGGCCGCCTCGACATCGCTCGGAAAGTTTTTTAGAGAGAGAAAGTGGAAGTAGAGAATTGAGAGAAGAAATTGTGTTTTTTACTTTGAGGGCAAAAGTGACAATTCACTCTAATTTTGTGGGCTTTATGTGGAGATTCGCGGGCGATGTTTAGCAATAAGGGAGGATAATTCTCTAAATAAGACTATTATGACCCGTAAGCTTGATGTAGATGATTTAAAAGGCTTGGAACATTTTCATGTTGATTTTGTGGTTAGTTTGAATAAATCATTAATTTTTTTTCTTTCTTTCTTTTTTTTTTCTTTTTTTTTTTTTTTTTGTTACAATTATTTGAAGATTTTCGTAGGAAAGGAGACAAAGCCACTTGAGATCATCTAGTGGCAAAATAATTCCGAATATCTTTGATAATTTTTTCATAATTATTACAGTAGTAATTTGAATATTTGATGGAATTTACAAGTTATACTCCATCCGCTTGATTAAGAACGTGGGTTAATCTATATTACAAAAATCTTTACAATAATTTTCGAGTTGGATTTAGAATTTAGGTTGAGTAACTCTAATTACCTAATCGGTTTCTAATAAGTTTTGTAAATGTGAGAGTATCTTGAGAAGTCAAAAGGAAAAATACCAATGGGAGGTGATTTAAAGAATGTGAGCTAGCTTATATTCGAATGCAATTGGAATTTTGTGGAAGTACAGTTTATCTGCCATAGAACACAATCAACAAAATTAGAAAGTAAACAGTGGTGGCTGCCAATAATAGTCTTGTATTTTGTGAAGTTAATTCATCCAGATTCTGATTATTACCCTTCAACTAACTACTACTATTATTTTCATTGAGTAGAACATTTAGATTTATCAAGTGGGAATTCTAATAGTATTCCAAAGTTGAAAGCATTTATTGATGTGTAAGCTTAGTTAAAAGTTATAAAAAAAGACCAACATTGAATTACAAACTTTTTTCCATGTTTCTTACTACGTATATACTTTTGTCGTTTCTTAATACATGCAATATTTCAACTTGTTTTTTACTATTCACGTACATTCAATTAGGATTGTCCATAATTCTAATTAGCGAACAATAATCAAGCAGAAGTAAGTTGTGATATATGCTTGGTAGATCTGTTGTATTTTAAATGGCTCTTAACAAGCTGACCAGCTGCAATAGCAGATAAAAGAGAGAGCTCTCCAGCAAGAACAGAAGCAGCTACAATTGTTGCCAAAACCCTTGAATTTTCTCCTTCTTTCTCTTTGTTTGCCCCTTTTACTCCTAGTAGATTTAAGCATGCTGCTTGTGATGCTAGTTGGGTCCCTCCTCCTACTGTGCCTACCTGAGAAAATTTTCATTTTAATTTCTAATTAATCATATAATCCTAGTTAAAGTAATCATTAATAAATAATACAACGTCTTTTTTTACATCGAAATAGTACATCACACCAAAAATTAATGTTGTACAAGAAAGATATACAACAGTTGCATAACATTTTTATTTTATACGAAGTAATTGTTTAATTGGTTAATGGATAGTTGGTTGTGCCACATAAGATATATAACAGTTGCTTACATTTTCATTTTATACAGAGTAATTGTTTAATTGGTTAATGGGTAATTGGTTGTGCCACATAAGATATATAACAGTTGCATAAGATATTTTTGAAATATTAGAACAAGGGACCAATGAGGTATATGTGAAAAACTTGTTGTTAGCAGCAGAATCTACAGACTGAACCTTAATAATCAATTATACAAGTGGATGGTTCATGCATGGAAATACAAGATGCAGGTGTCATTAATGAAATAAGATTTTCATAGTTTCACTAATTGGAATCGTTGTCAGGATATGATCAGGTGGGTTAATGCAAATTAGAGAATTAATTTCAACACAAACAAAATGTTCTTCCGTAGCAAAGCTACATATATGGGAACGTGACAATCGTACGTCAAGAAAAGTTTTCGATCGATGCATTCTTATGAGTCGTGTCTACTATAGTACTATATACTCCCCCGTTTCATAATATGATGATTATGATTTTCGAGCTTAAGTTTTGACCGTAATTCTTAAAAATCTTATGATGTAACGTATGGATAAAATTTACGAGTAATTATATTTAAATATGTTGGTAATTACCTCAATAGAAGGCATGGTAACAGAAATATGGAGGTCCTTGCCATGATTAATAGCTTCGAGCATAGTAATACAATTTGAGCTCTCCACATTTTGAGCAGGATCTTGGCCTGTCGCTATGAAAATTGCAGTAACGATATTGCTAGAGTGAGCATTATATCCACCGAGAGCCCCGGCCATCGCCGATCCAACGAGGTTTTTGAGGTTGTTAAGCTCAACCAAGGCCTCCACACTTGTCTTCAACACATTCTTTACCACCTCTTCCTTTATGGTTGCCTCACATACCACTGATTTTCCTCTGCCTTCCACCCAGTTCACTGCTGCTGGTTTCTTGTCTGAGCAGTAATTTCCTGTCCCAGTTATGAATGTATACAACAAATAATCTTCAATTTTTTTCATTATTGTGACTGTAAAAAGGTGTGATACTCTTTTTGTCTCAAAATGATTGCAATACTTAATTGCTTTTCAAGGTCAAAGTACATACTTGATACTACGAGTAATGTCGTACTATATGAAGAAGAAAACAGTGTCATGTAAAATCTTGTTAGAATTCAACAATCATTATAAAAATATTAATCCTAGATTTTTTTTTTTTTTTTTTTTTTTTTTTGCATATCAACATGTAATCAAGTCATGTGATAGGATGGTCAAAGATACATCTTGAATATCGTAAAAATCAAGTGTATGTTTATGTATATACCGGATATGCTGATAACATCCATGTCAGGGAAGTGGGCATGAAGGTGAGCAAGAACATTTTGTACACCTTTAGAAACAATATCCATACCCATTGCATCTCCTGTACTGCAGCTAAACCTCATGTACAAATCCTTCCCTGCTACTGTACTTTTTATGCTTTGCAATCTCACAATACCACTTGATCTGCATATATAAACAATGAACATTATCTACAAATTGAGTACATTTACTAGTACTAGTTTATATTGTAATAAAACCATAAAAACCTGGTAAATATGCCAGCAATGGCATAAAAATTTCCAGGATCCTCCAAGAAGAACTTAACCTCAGCAGCCCTCTTAGCCGACCCGAACCGCGCCACAGGCGCCCGAGTCATCCCATCCTTAAACACCTTACTATAAGCCCCACCGGATTGGTACACTGCCTTGCATCCTCGGTTGGTGCTAGCCACTAGACACCCCTCAGTCGTGGCTATCGGAACATAATACTCCTTCCCATCGAGCAACAAGGGCCCCACCACCCCTACAGGCATCTGCACGTACCCCACTGCCATCTCATGATATTGCCTGAACGCAGCCTCGTAGTCAAAACCCTCCACGGGCAGGCCCTCTACGGACTTCCCCGTGGTTTGCTCTTCAATTTTCCATTTGTCAGTCATCACCACCACAGACTCCACATAGTCTGAGGTGGCGGGGAGTGCAGGTTCTTCAGCATCTACTTTAGATTTACGTGGGAAAATAAAGTAGATGCTGAAGAACCCAATGAAGTAAACAAGAGAGGCAAGAAGAGAGAAAAAAGCAATGATCTCAGACAAAGGGATAGGCATCGTCGTCGTTTCATAATCATGTATGTTAACTCTCCAACAGCAGAGTAGGAAGTAAGCTGCAAAGAAGAACAATGTGAGGAAGAACGCATTGACAAGGTTGTTGAGAGGCAGTTCGCTGGCGGATCGCCAGCGAACGAGGTACATGGTAAGGGAATGAAGGAAGAAGATGAGCGAAGGTTTAGGGAGGATTGAAGAGATACTACCGTTTCCTGAGCTTGAAAGGGAACAGTCAATAAGTTTTTCCGTTTTTCCGTCCTTACCACGTAGTTTAATTAATACTTGATTATAATTTCTTGTAGTTTGTTAGTAACGTGAAGCTTGTTTTATATAGCTGACCACGTAAATTTCCTGTCAATAAGATAGACGTACTACGATATTTTATTAGGGTGATGCTAACGAAATATGTAACTAAAAGATGATACCGACTCATCTAAATAGTGTGTCTCATTAAATAATGTGTTAACTACATCCATAAATTAGGGAGAATTAGATTATACATTGACACTCGTATTAGGTTTAGAAATTGATTGAGCACATGTATTGTAATCGTACTAATAAGCAATTAGATTAAAAGTCAGACCTCAATAATAATATTTTTTTTTTTAGAAAGACTTCATTACTACGTAATAATTAATATTAATAAACTGATCCTACTTTGTTAATTTTGATAATATTTTGACTTGACTTCAAGCCTCACGATTTATAGACCAATATTTAAAGGTACACTTTATCATTAAAGGGGAAGGTAAAAGAATCCCCACCATCAAAGTATCTCTAGTGGGAAGGAACAATTTTTCCTACCTTGGTATACATTTTGATATAATTATGTCGCTATAATAAAAAAAAAAAGGCACCGTACAAATTTGAATACTTACAGTTACGGGTACATGCAACTACTATGCAAGTCCACTCAAAGGCAGTGCCAAGAACTGTGTTCTAATTTTGTATTGTCCAAAAGAGATTCCCACCAATTAATTAGTAATCACATTACAATATAAAATGGATGGAAGTGAATTGGTTAGGCAAGAAACAAAACAACATTGTTCAAATCTTAAAAGATAATGACCTTCAATAGAAGGTCAGAAGTCATAACAATCAATAAGGCCACCTAGCCCAATAGAGTCACATGCATACAATGACTCACATTACGGTAAAACGGACTAATATAAATATTTCTCAAGAAAAATCATATCATTTTTTTAGTGTTTAGAGAGCCACAAGACGGTGATGAGAATCAATCTCAGGATCACCTGAAATCAGGAGAGGGGCTCTAACCACTTGAGCTATCTCTAACTCCTATTTATTAGATTTACAAGCCACCAAGATGTATACTAATATCAGTTAAAAAAAAAAAGGGTCAAAAGTAAATGTATGCTAATAAATAATCGAGGGAGTAAAATTTTTATATGCTGGTTAAAGTTTCCATCTCGGTTCTAGGTAATCCTAGGATCGATTCCCATCACTCATAAACACCAAAAAAAAAAATGTAGACCTTGTCAAACTATCCTTGTTAAATTCATCTAAATATATACTTTCAAATATCAACTTCTGTAAGAACAAAATTAGCTAGTTTTGCCAGCTAATTGTTGCTTAATGTGCTTCAAGATAAATTGCTGTTACAATTGATCTCATCTTTCGAATGACTAGTAAAACAGTTAATGAGTAATAACATTGCGTATCTGATCTTAATCATTCAGTACCATTTGAAAGCCCTATGACATTTGAAAGATACTCTTGTCACCAGTCTCACCAGTCACCACCAAATCACCAGTAAATGCCTAATTGGCCAGGCTCTAACTAGATATCACTGTAGCAAAACATTGAACCGACGAGAAAATAGAATCACAATCTTCTGTCCCACTTTTGAGTACCATATGTAGGTCGATTTTACGCAGATACATTTAAACCTACTTTATCATTAAATAATTTGGATTATCGGGTTTGATAATCCTTTATCTCCATACCTCCCTCAACTATCAGACAAAATATACCTATAGTCAAAAAAACACCCAAAAAAAGATACCACGACAGAAAATGATGCTGCCATTGTTAAGTTTATTAAACGGGATTTAACGAGACAAAGATTGATAACTGACAAACAGAGAGATTCTTAGAGATCTTAAAAGAGTGGAAAAAAGAAAGAGAACCTTTTGAAGAATCTTCAGGAAAGTGGCAGATGAAGTTAAAAGAAAAATAAGATAACAAAAGAATTTTTAAAAAAAAAAAAAAAAAAAAAACAGAGCATAATATGCACTCAGGTTACAGTTACCTAAGACACAACCTATCCAGTTAAAAATAAAAAAGAGATGATGCTGCCTTTACTATCGTCTATTCGTCTGTCTGCCATACAAGACAGTGCATCACTGCATCTCGTGCAGTAATTGAAGGCATATAGCACCGTACAAGACTCTGCATCTCTGCAGTAATTGAAGGCATATAGCGACCTCACGAATATACAACTAAATAAGTTCAGATTTTGCAAAGCTCCTTTTAGTGCAAATGAACACAAACAAAATCAGAGAGGCAGAAAATACAACGATGAATACGTAGTAACAAGAAACAACTTAAACCAATATTAAGCAGATTGTTTATCCTGTACAACATCAAACCATCGACGTGTTTGGCATCCAATCATTCAAGATTAACACCAAAATGTTCAAAAAATAGAGTTGAAAAGGATGGCATACAGCATTATACCTCTACAAGCATGGTAAGAGCCCAAGAGGCAGTGATGTTGGTATTGTAAAATTTGCCCTCTGTCTACAGACACCTGTAAACCACCAAATGAGTCAAAATCCTAGCTAATTTCTCCTCAGAATAAATCTGTGAATGCCAGATTCATTTTTTCATGTGAGTCAAGATCCTACTAATGAGAGCTTCCTTCTTTCCAGTAACAGGAAGTTTGTGGGCTGAGAGGTAATATTTTAGCTCTGCCACTGTTAAATCTTTCAACTGCCACACAGAAAACAGAAGCAAGCAGGAAATCGAGAGTAAGAGACGAAAAAATGGGAACAAAAAGAAGCAAAGATCATCTAAGAAAGTGAACATACTGCAGAGCATTATGATGAGCAAGAGGGTTTCAAATTAAGATCTAACCTTTCCATTATCAGCAAGATCATCCCAGTCATAGTTAGCAGACTCTTGTACTGCCTTTTCAGCGATAGCTTTCCGTTTTCTGGAAGCTTCAGAAACAATACTCTCTCCTTCTTCATACTTATCTCCGTAGACAGACAACTTAAATTCTTCTATTGCATTAACAACACCAGGCCTGTCGGGGATATAACACAGCAGATTCAGGTTATAAATCACAAACGAAAAACAATAATTAAGGCTCTGTGGCCTCGGTCCACTTCTATTTGGGAATAACCAAAAAAAAAGTTTGAATCTTTGTAGATAACACTCCTTCCATTTCATATTGATTTTCCTAATAGGAATGTCTCGGTTTATGAGGAGAATGCGCCCTACCGGACTTGAGCCTCGCACTGGTCAACTCAGCCCGGGTACACGGGCAAGGCCCCTTGGGAGTGGGAGGGGGGGAAGTAAGGGAATCCCCACCTCCAAGTTGCCTCTAGTGGGGATTGATCCCACAACCTCATGGTTATGAGCCAATATGTTGACCATGCATGATTATTCACTGATGCATAAGAAAAAACAAACTCATAGTGGGATGACTAAAGTCTGCGTAGTTTTCAAATATTAACTTCTCATGAATTTTAAAAATAAGGGAGTCTGGCAATTAGGTGTGAAGAGCCGCTGAAGAAATCAAGTTAGTTGCATAAGCTAGAAACCAAATTAGTTTAGCACACTACCTGGCCATGCCTTCTTCATCAGGAAGGGTTTCGTCCTTGATTTCTGGTATTTCATCTTCTTCCAGAGCCAAGGCCTGTAATACTGCATAGTGCTTCTGCAAGGCTAAGAAAATAAACCTCATATTTTGAGAGCCTTTTACTAGAAGCCAGAGCAAAAAAAAATTTAAATGGAAGAATAAATGTGATAGCCAACATATGGCAAAATCGTAGTAGGGATATTCCCTGCAGCATACACAATTTTTGCAACAAGATTTGGTTAGTGCTAAGAGATGATGATTTTAGATGAAAAAATTGTGATGCAACACAAATCTATAGAATAACTGACTAAGAAACATCGAACTCTATGAACAATAATAGAATGTAAACTAAGACAATATAGCCAATTGTATATCCTCTATCAATACAACTCACTCACTGCCATAAACTAGGAAGCTAAGTGATTAAGTGTTTCTTATCATTCACATGCTTGAATAAATTGAGACAATTTCTGCGTCACCTATATAATGGGAATATCACCTGCATTAACTCCTAAGTTTATGCAGTTTAAAACTACTAAATATTAAAACAGCATTGTTATTCTTTGTAACTATTTTCTATTGCTGGAGCCCTAACTCCCAAGTGACCATCAAATAAGAACACAGTTACCAGGATTACCAGGATTAGGAAACTGGCATACTGTAAAATCTCCTAAATTTACACGGTTCATAAGGGTTACAGCCTTCTGAATATCTTCATTTGATGCACGAGGGGTCGTAAAAGTGACATCCATATGAAGCTGCAAAAGATTGAAGAACGTTTCCCAAAGATCAATTTAGCAGAAAATTGAGAAATTGGCTTATATACCTACAAATTAATCTACAAAAATTATTCCTTGCCTCTTCAGGGTTTCGTATATCATCACAATATGGTAGGTAAATCATATGCATTCCAGGAGGCTCGACCTGACCACGTGCAGTAATTACCTCATCCTGCATTCAGCAAGAAAAGAAAATCAAACCAGCACTGAGTTTGTTTCATGGCATGCAAAAATGATAGAGGGAATGCGGGTTTTTTTTCATTTTCTTTTTTTTTTTTTTTTTTGCCTTGGGGAGGGGAGTGTAAATGAATGCTAAAAGAGGATAGAAATTGAGAATCCAGATAGACGTAAATTTAAGTTGTATAATCCAGCTTCACAATAAACTTTATAAATTTTAGCATAAGCTAGTTAGGTAGCATCATAGTTAACTACTGTGGCTTTGGTCTGGAAGATGTGCTCTGAAGAAAACATGAAGCTATATTTCTCTATACACTGATGATATAATATCTGCCTTTAAGACTTCACTCTCTTATTCTCCATTTGTTTAGAAGTATAAATGCATAATGTACAACGATTTCACACTGAAATGATCCAACCAGACACCACTATATATATTTCAGAAATGAGCAAATCCAACAAAAAAAAAAAAAAAAAAATTAAAAATTAATGTAAAGGTCCCTTTAACCTCAGAAAACCCTCTACCCTGCAAATTTGAGCAGAACCATAAAAGGGTCAGATCCTATTAAAGCAGGTAACAAGGAATTCCCTCCTGATTTAATAGTGTCTTAGAACTAGGGTTTTGAAATTCTCATACCTTGGGAACTAAGAAAAATATTATATCAGATAACCATGTAAATCTGGAATCTAACTTTAAAAAGAAATTTGAAACAATACAAATGAATAAAACTTACTTGAGCAATGAGCGCAACCAATTGAGGATGTGTTGAACTGCCAAAGTATGCAACTGCAAAGCTGCATCATGAAGACTAAAGACTGAAA